TTCTACACGATTTTACAAAAAAATGCCGTGGTGCACGAGTTCGTCAATAAATACATCGCTATACGCGTATAAGTATATACGAGACATGCGCAGTGTGAATGTACGGCTTCCTTTCCAAAGGGCAGAAAAGAGAAAAAATTCACGAAGAGAGAGGCTACAAAAAGCGGACGTCCCCGGAAACAACGAGCACATAATACATTACATCTCGGACGGCGGTGGCAACGTCGAGCGTGTTTGCGTACATGCATGTGCAGGTGTGCGTGCGTGCAGGGGTTGGTGGGCACCGAGCGGCCTACAGAGTGGAGAGCATATCAACTCCCACAGCCAGACGTGCAAAAAAGGGAAACACACACACACACACAAGAAACAGCAAACAAAAACAAAGATAGCACAAGACCCCCTCTGTCCCCACCACTGAAATCTCTGTGGTGTGTGCCACATCACGTTCACCACACATCCAAACCCCAGTTTTTTGCACTGTTCACCTCACTCATTCTCATCCGCATCCTCCTCCTCTTTGCAGTCGTCGTCTTCCTCTTCATCGTCCTCTTCCGATAGCTCTAGCGTGAGAGCGCCCTTCAACTTAGTGTCGGCGCCTTCGTCCGTCTCAAAGCCACCGCCCTCGCGCAGGACGCCGAGGTAGCCGAACCCGTAGCCGCACCGCGGCTCCAGCATGACATCCACCGACTCGTCGCCCACCATCATCAGTGCCTCCTCCTGTGGATCTATTGGCAGCTCNGCCGCACCGCGGCTCCAGCATGACATCCACCGACTCGTCGCCCACCATCATCAGTGCCTCCTCCTGTGGATCTATTGGCAGCTCCGATGCAGGGAGCTTCTTCATTTCCTGCATGCGACGCGCACTTACCTGCGCCTCTTTGAGTAGTTTGATTCTTGTGCGCAAGCGTCGGTACTTCACAGTAAAACACTTTTTTTTGGGACCATTTGCTGCCCCAACGCCGTTGTCGCCGTCCGTCGCTGTTTGGCCTTCCAATCTCCCTGTCCTTCGCTGCCGATTGGGAAGGAGCGCAGGACGCTTGCGCAATTCTACCAACTTTTTCAGACGTTGCGATTTAGGGCTAAGGGGCTCCGTAACATTGTTCGACTTGTTGGTCCCGACAGCAGCAGCAGCAGCAGCCCGCTCGCCCACAGATCCAAGACGTGCTGCCGACTGGACTTTACCAGCGCATTCGGCCGCATTTGGAGAGGCCACACTAATTGCCCCTACGGGGTCTATCGTTTCCTCCCAGCCTGTGATGCCGCACCACGTGTCCGCGACCCCAGGTGCACCAACTTCAGAGGAGGCAGCAGCCGGTACTGACGGCGGCGCCCCGGAGTTATTGGCATTCTCCTTTGCCACAAAATTATTTGAACGCATACGCATTGCAACAGTATTGTTCCGGTTTGGCGCTACATTTGTCTGGCTTACTAAACGTATGTATGCCGCAGATCCGTTTTCTGATACAGGTTGCGCTTGCTGCTGCTGCTTTTGTTGCTGTTGTTGTTGTTGTTGTGTCTGCCGTTGTTGCTGTTGCGTGTCAACAGGGCTGCGCAGCGTTGCCAGTGTCTGATTTTCCTGAGAGCCGTCGCAAGAGAATGAAGACTGGCTTGACTGAGCAAAATCTATTCTTGGTGAAGGACGTTCGAGTCGCGGGGGCGGCGCCTGGGGTTTTGGCGGTTCGTCCTGTCGCACAAGAGCAGGCATGCGACGCCGCTCCGTCGACAAGTCCCCGACAACGGGCAGGCGTGTGCCCGGTGATTCTGTCGTGACTGAGTTGCCTGCAGGTGCTTTGCTACCATTTGCAACGATTGGCGATACAAGTGCTGCGGCAGTCTGCCAGATTGGTGGCGCGTACGCCGGGACCGCAAAGAGTGCCATGTCAGCCGGGGTATTATTGATTGCCTCGCCTTCATCGTTGGAGGTCATGAGCCGTGAAACTCTACATGTACCGCTCAGGGCTATCGAATCAATCGACTTGATGGGTGGTAAATCAAGCAGATGCGTAACGATACCTAAAACATGAAACACCACCTGAACCCACCGATTGCGAGGGATGATCAAAGGCATCCCGGAGACGATGACACCGTCACATGGATCCTCCACAAAGGCCTTGTTGAACTGTGTTCCGATGGTGAGTTTCACACGAAGGAGCGTATTGATGCTCATGGTCGCCTCCACGGCGAAGGAGTCAAAGGAGCCAAGATAGGCTTGGAGGACAATGAGAGAATGCGGAGGATGTACAGAGCTAAGTGGACGGTCCTCGCGAGGTACCTGCACACGCGCATTCGAGAGTCCACCCTTCATGACTAAGACAGGTACACGCAGGACACGGTCGTACTTTATTGCGCAGCACGACTCATTCTGCACCCTGGCAATGTTCAGAGAACCGGGGTTACGTGGTACTAAAATATCCTGGAGAACCGGATGATCTGTCATCAGAACGCAGATGCGATGGCACACTGACGCTTATTGTTTCAGAAAAATCACCTGCAAATTATACAATGATGATGCCAGGAAACAAATGATGCGTAGATGAACTAAATGCCGCATTCAATATATAAGCCACACTCTTGATGAACAAGAAGCGTTGTTCTCCCTTCAGTAACAGAGAATAATAAATAATAATAAAAGCAAAAAAAAAGCACACTAACGCATTTAACACACAGGACAGCGTTGAGTGCAATTCACAGACAGAAGCACGGACAGAGAGAGAGAGAGAGCGAGAAAGCGAGATACAGGAGTTTCAAAAGTATATACAGTTCTTTATCAAGGCCACTTCTCCTCCTCACTTACCTGTTGATGTCCACTGCACTCTGTTGGGTGTTCGGTATGGTTTCACGCTTCATCATTATGACCTGCTACAGGCGTTAACTAGGAGGATCCAGTATCAAGAGGCTACACACACCTTCTTTGTCCACACACAGCACCCCACCAGAATTCTGAAATTCGTTACAGTAATTCGTTGCAGAAAATATGGTGAGTAACTGACGTTTCTTGTTACTGGGAAAAAACAGGAAGCCCCTCTCAACCACCTGGTGTGCCCGGCATATCATGTCCAAGTCATTGTCCTTCAGGAATTTCTCCAGCGCACGAGCAGAGAATACAAAGGATATTCGGCGCGAACTAGGTGCCCAGTCAACAGTTGACGGGAGATCAGGCTCTGGATCAGCCCAGAGCAAATCGGAGATAATGCCACTATGTGGAATATCGCATGGACGCACATCCGGGACGTCCTTCACATACTTCAACTCCTGAGAAAGTCCGCCATGCATACAGAAAATAGTTCCATTAATGACTGCAGCAACAGGCAACACGCGAAAAACATCCGCAAAGTCACGGAAAAGCTTCACTCCATAGCGTCTTTTACACTCATCAAAGAAACCGTAGAGAAACATGATTCTTTCATCTTCGTGATTTCCACGCAAAAGAGTTATTTTTGATGGTTCTATGATTTTCAGCGCCAGCAGTGTAACCACAACCTCGATAGAACGGCTACCACGATCAACGTAATCACCCAAAAAAAGGTATCCGTACGACGTATCATCTTCATCCTTCACTTCGTGCAAATGTGAGTTAGATGACTCTACACTATCACTGCGATGTCGCTTGTGTCTCTGCAGAGTTGGTTGGCGCTTGGCTCTCCCAAAGGCCCTCCCACCTAAAGGTGGGCGTTGACCAAAGATGTTGACAAGATCGTAGTACTGTCCGTGTATATCACCACAGACACACACAGGCGACTCAACATTTACAACAATCGGTTCACTCGCAATTATAGAACGTGCTTCTCTAATAATGCGTACGATAAGTTCCTCAGGGAGACTCTGCTCGTTAGGGCTTAAAGACATATATTTTTCGGGCAATAGTTCAAGGAGCCGGTAGAGAACATCGTGTTTCTCATGTAGCGAAAGTGTGTCGGTGGGCAATGTGCTTAGTGTACAGGTCGCAAGATCCAACGTGGAGTCGGACTCTTTTTTCTCGTGGCACCGCCTCATTAAATTTTACTGACAGGCGACTTCGCTTCTCCTTCGATAAAGAGAAAAGAATCACAAACTGGTAGAGGATGTGGGAAAGACGCCTTTTTTTTTGCAAACAGCCAAAGGAAAAACAAAGAAAGAACAAAGAGAAAAAAAAAACAAGCGAGCATAATTGAGGCAGACGGCAAAAAAATACGATGTATGTGGCGAAACCTCAGCAATGGTTTAATTTTCAACGAAATTCAAGAAAAAGTCCGTCCCTTTGGTATCAGCTTTCATTGTCCCCACCGGGGACGAAGGCGTAGATTAAGTTTGGCGGCTCATCATCATCATCATCATCATCGTCAACATCATTTGGTTTTTTTTTTAATATATTCGCTGTGCGTCCGACACTTGAACGACCTGTGAGAGACTCCTGTTTATCATACCGGCAACGGAGAGGGGACTCACGATGTCGTTTTGACAACGACAATTCTTTTCTCGCACTATCCACCTCAAAGCGCAAATTACTTTCCATGAGTGCTTTAATCTGTCTTCGACCCTTTGCTGATTTAATGTGAGTCCCGCCCGATAACAGCTGAGCCTTTCCAGTGAAGCGCACACCCTCAATGCGCACACATCGCCTCATTTTTTCATCACCAGGCTCAACTTTTTGAACCAAGTAGAACCGAACACGCTGATCTGCTTGTAAAGGAAGTTTTATTCCACAGCAAATACCGCGTCCTGTCACCGGGTCACAACGCATAACTGCAAATGGATGACTAGTGGGTCGACCCTGACTATCAAGTAATTGCATGAACAAGTAGCCTAGTACATCATAATTACCAGAAGAACACCGCGGATCAGACAATTCCCCTTTGGTATCATTCTCAAAAAGAAACTCCACATTCGTCAGCTCGATCCCTGCTATCTCTCGACTAGAAGGGACATGAATATCCAAACGATGCTGCAAATCGCATTCAGCCACAGTGGCGGTTATAGAAATAGGTATACTTAACAAGCTTTTTTCTTCCGACACCGTGGGGTGAAGTGTGTGTTTAAACGGAACGCCTTTTTGCAAGACCATAGGATCAACCTACAAGTGCTTCTAAGCGGTAATTTACACATCATAGTCAGAAATAATAAAAAGGGGCAGAAAAATAGACACACAAGAGAATCAAGC